CTGTTACAAATAAAGTCCAGTTGTTTTTGTATTGAACGCTTTTTGAACTTTAGAGTTACACTTTGCACAAAGATCTGGGTTGTTATTATTGTATTTATTTAAATGGACAGGAGTAACATACATGCACATTAGCCATTTAAATTGTAGTACTCGAAGATGGCTATTTATGGACATTGTGTGAATTTTTGCACGGGCCCTTTCCCAATCCTGTTCTTCGATGGTTGATGGTAGGTCCACATTCCATTTCATAAGTGTTTTACTTGAGTTCTCTGGTGAGTTAGAGATAAGCACTTTATAAAAATCTGAAATAATGCCCTTTCTAACCATAATCCTTGATTTGACCGGATTGAAATGTTTTCAGATTAAATAATTCAAATGTATTGTTTACATGGGCACAATCTGTTTAAGATGAGCATTTACATGCAACAGGCTTTGTCCTAAACAGATGTACTGACATACGCAGAGTGGTAAACTCTCCTTAAAAAACACAGAAGTTCTACTTCCAGTTTACTTCCTGAATGAACATAAACAAAGCTGAGCACCCATAATGGACCCACGACAGGTTTTAATGACGGTGGAGACGTTGCTGCACTCCCTGACTGAGCTACAGGTAATACAGATCATTCTGAGCTCTTTCAAAGTCCATCCATCCATTTTCTTCCGCTTATCCGGGGTCGGGTCATGGGGGTAGCAGCTTAAGTAGGGAGGCCCAGACTTCCCTCTCCCCAGCCACTTGGTCCAGCTCCTCCGGGGGAATCCTGAAGCGTTCCCAGGCCAGCCGAGGAACATAGTCCCTCCAGCGTGTCCTGGGTCTTCCTCTGGGTCTCCTCCCAGTGGGACGTGTCTGGAACACCTCACCAGGGAGGCGTCCAGGAGGCATCCTAACCAGATGCCCGAGCCACCTCAACTGGCTCCTCTCGACATGGAGAAGCAGCAGCTCTACTCTGAGTCCCTCCCGGATGATCGAGCTTCTCACCCTAATCTCTAAGAGAAAGCCTAGACACCCTGCGGAGAAAACTCATTTTGGCCGCTTGTATTCGAGATCTCATTCTTTCGGTCACAACCAAAGCTCATGATCATAGATGAGGGTAGGAACGTAGATCGATCGGTAAATTGAGAGCTTTGCCTTTTGACTCAGCTCTCTCTTCACCACGACAGATCTGTACAGCGCTCGCTTCACTGCAGACGCTGCACCTATCCGCCTATCGTTAACTGGACATCATTAACTTCACACAGACTCTCTCACTGGTACATTTTCATCTTTAAATCACTTCTTGGTCTGCTGCCTTCATACATCTCCTCCTACATGTCTCTGTGTGAGTGCAGCTACAGCGTGCGCTCTCAGGACATTATTACCTGCAGTGTTCCCTCAGTGAGGACTGAACTAGGCAAAAGGGCCTTCTCCTATTCCACTCCTGTTTCCTGGAATATCTTGTAAAAAGATCTGAAGCTCTCGACCTTGACCTCTCTAAGTGGCTTTAAGAATCTGTTGGATTCCTGGCAGGGACCAATGCAGACATGTTCCTGTTTTTAGTTTTCTACATTCGCCTTAGAATCTAGCTGTTTTTTGTTTTTTTGTTACCTTTTCCTTTTAGCCATTCTATTTGTAAAAAAAACAACAAAAAAAAACACAAAAAAAACCTGTATTATGACTTTTTATAATTGTTTATTGTTTTTGCTGTATTCCATTGTTGTCATCTTTCTTTGTTGAAATCAGGTCTCTCTTGTAAATGAGTCCTCGAGGCTCAATGGGATTTACCTGTCTAAATAAAGGTTGATTGATATCAAAAAAGGATTCAAGATGGCGCCCGAGCTGGTGGCTTGCCGTTCACCTCTCTCCACTCTGTTTGTTTTTTTGCTATTTTTATCATTCTTCCTCAATAACATCAACTCACTGCTGGTGTATGATCGTGAGCAACTTCTAAATCTACAATTTTCCACAAAACATCTCGCCTCGTACGATCATTTCTACCGAGGTTCTGGGCCCCCACCTCCACTGCTCGGGAGCGTCCCTGCTTGCCTTCGCCGTGATGTTTTCCTGCCTGCACGGAAACATCGCTCCCGCCGCCGCGGGAGACGTGCTGGCCGCCTCGTGAGGCTCAAAGCGAGCCTCGCTCGCTCCTCAGCAACAGCTGACCACCGGACTGAGGATCCTCCACCTGGATGTCTCGCGGAGTCCTGCCCGCTGAAGAACGTGGGGTCGGAGGTGCGCAGCGGGCGCGCGCTCAGCTGCGAAGTTTCCGACAGTCTCCAGCTGATCGAGGTCTGCCTGGGTTCTTCATCTGCACCATCTCCTGCCACCCGATCGGTCTGTCCCAACGACCCTGCTGTGTCCGGCGGCTCTCGGACTCCGGCTGTTTGTCCCGGACCGCGCAGCGGGCGCGCGCCCAGCTGCGGTGGGTCCGAAAGTCTCCAGCTGATCGGGGCCTGCCCTGGTCCATCGGCTGCACCATCTACTGCTGTCCCGTCGGAGTGTACCAACGACCCTGCTGTGTCCGGCGGCTCTCGGATTCAGGCTCTTCATTCTGGACTTCGCGGCGGACGCGCGCGAAGCTGCGCTTCCTCTGGCCGGAGGAGGCGAAGGCCCGACGTAAACAACCTGAGGCCGCTGATCAGCGTCCTCCCCTCAACTTTTCTCCCAGCTGCTGGCCTAACGAGGTTTGCTCTCCTCAATGTGAGATCTTTATCAACCAAAACTTTTATAATGAATGACTTCTTCTGCTCCAATAACCTGGACTTCTTGTTTCTGACGGAGACCTGGCTTCCTCCTGGTGAGTCAAGCGTTTTTACTGAACTTGTGCCTGCAGACTGTACTTTTCTTAACTGCCCGAGGCCATCTGGAAGAGGTGGAGGAGTTTTAGCTCTTTTTAAGAAAATTTGGAAATGCAGACTACTTCTGACAGCAGCTTTTGAGACCTTTGAGCTGCTGCATTTTGAACTGGGCCGCTCCAACCCCATCCTGGTTGCTGCTCTTTACAGACCCCCCAAATCATCAACAGGCTTCATCAATGAACTGTCTGACTTTCTCACTGGAATACTGTTAAAATACGACCGTGTGCTGATTCTAGGGGACTTCAATATACACGTCTGTTGCCCTGAGAAGCCTTTGGTGCAGGACTTTCTAAATCTGATCCACTCTCTAAACCTGGTGCAAAATGTTGTTGGCCCCACGCATCAGCAGGGGCACACTCTCGATATTGTTTTGTCTTATGGTGTATCTGTGTTAAATCTGGAAATTGGGGATGCTATCATATTCGATCACAAACCCATCTCATTTGAAATCTCTCTTGCTCGTGAGTCTAAATCCCCCACTCCACCTAGGACCTGTCGTGTATTTAACCCTTCAACCTCTGCTCGTTTTTCCTCTGCTTTTATCACCACTGCTGTTTCAACTCCTGATACCTCTGCCTGTGTCAGTACTCATGAGCTGCTTAGTCACCACAATGAGACCTGCACCAAGATCTTGGATCTGGTGGCCCCACTGAAAGTCAGGAAAGCAAGGAGAACCCAGTACCCGTGGATAAACGAGACCACCAGGGCAGCGAGACGACTGTGCAGGAGAGCAGAGCGCAAATGGAAAAAGGACCAACTCCAGGTTTCTTTCATTTTGCTAAAAACCTGTTTAAAAAATTACCAAAACACCGTCAAATCAGAAAAAAACAAATACTTCTCCCAACTGATCAGTGAAAATAAAAACAACCCCCGCACCCTTTTCACAGCAGTAAATTCCATTCTTAATGGCCCTTTGTCTGAATGCATGGACGCCTCTGTGGACGTCTGTAACGACTTCACAAGATTCTTTGTTGGTAAGGTAGAGCTGATCAGATCTTCCATCCCCCGCTCCTCAGTTGACCCATCGGTTTTTGTCCCATGTTCAGCCACTTTCAGGAATTTCAATCCAATCACACTCCCATTGTTAAACAAAGTTGTTGGTCACATGAAACCCTCAGGCTCCCCTTCTGATCCAATCTCTCCCTCACTGTTCAAACAGGTTCTACCAGCGATTGGGCCCGCTGTTCTTAATATTCTTAACAGTAGCTTTGCTACAAGCGTGGTTCCACAGGCCTTTAAAAATGCAGTAGTCACTCCTTTAATCAAGAAACCTGGACTTGACCCCTCAGTGCACTCAAATTACAGACCAATCTCAAAGCTTCCCTTCCTGTCCAAAATCCTAGAAAAAATAGTTTTTACTCAGTTGAATCAATTTTTAACTGAGAACAAAATCTTTGAGGTCTTTCAGTCTGGTTTTAAGCAACTCCACAGCACAGAAACAGCTTTGGTTAGGGTTTGCAATGACATTTTAACTTCAAACGATTCTGGTCACTATGTGGTACTTGTACTCCTTGATCTTACTGCTGCTTTTGACACCGTCGACCACAGTATCCTCATCTCACGGCTCGAACACTGGGTTGGGATTACAGGAGCTGCTTTAGACTGGTTCCGTTCTTACCTCTCTGACAGGACTTTTTGTGTCAAGGTTGGTGAAAGTCTGTCCACTTCGGTCCCTCTTTCCTGCGGGGTCCCACAGGGCTCGATCCTTGGACCCCTTCTCTTCTCGCTCTATCTGCTCCCACTGGGATCCATCTTAAGAAAACATGCCATCTCATTCCATTGCTATGCCGATGACTGCCAGATCTACCTGCCACTGAAACCAGCCAGTGCTCGTTCCATCCACCCTCTCCTCAAATGTCTAGATGACATTAAGGCATGGATGACTTCAAATTTTCTCAGTTTTAACGACCAGAAAACTGAAGTCATCGTCTTTAGTCCTAGCTCAGCTGCCTCCTCAGATCCTGCAAACCTGGACTCACTTCAGCCCTATCTCAAGCACACTGTTAGAAATCTCGGGGTGGTTTTTGACTCGGATTTTAAGTTCTCCTCCTGACATATAAGTGCCTAAATGGCCTCGCACCCCTCTACCTCTCCGAGCTCCTGGAACCATATGTTCCGTCTCGGGCCCTGAGATCATCGGACCAGCTTCTTTTGGTCGTTCCAAAATCACGCCTGAAGCTCCGAGGGGATCGAGCTTTTTCAGTCAGAGGTCCCAACCTGTGGAACAACCTGCCCCTCAACATCAGGCAGGCCTCCTCCCTCCTGATGTTCAAATCCCTCCTTAAAACGCACCTGTTTGCTCTGGCGTTTAATACGGTGTGAGTTAGTTTATTTTGTTCTGTGTACCTCATTTTAAATTCTGTTGTTTTATGATTGACGTTTATTTTTACTGCTTGTTTTTCCTTAGTGTGATCATTAGTGTGTGTTATTGCTCCAGTAATTTTAATTCTGTATGATGTTTTTGTTTTGCTGTCTATGTTTTGCTACATTTCTGTTAAGCACTTTGATAACAGTTTATCTGTTTTAAATTGTGCTCTACAAATAAAGATGACTTGACTTGACTTGATTTCACGTTCCATTTTTCCCTCACTTGTGAACAAGACCCCAAGATACTTGAACTCCTCCACTTGGGGCAGGACCTCCTCCCTGACCCGGAGAGGGCACTCTACCCTTTTCTGGCTCAAGACCATGGCCTCGGATTTGGAGGAACTGATCTTCTGATCTGAGATATGTTGTTGTCTGCACGTGCATGAAATGTATGGCTGTAGTGTGCATGTGCTTCAACCTCTGCGGGAGCATTTCACACCTCAGCGGGCGGTCAGCTGAAAACCTCCACCCTTAGAGGTGGATTGAAAAACTTCTGGATTAAGCAATGGTGAGTAGGTGGGGGGTGTGGGGGCTGGTGTTGTGTAAATGAACAGCCAAACCACAGAGAGAAAACTGCAGTTTCACTCAAAATAACGGCCCCTGAGACCTGGATTCAGAAACCTTTGATTTCAGAGAGAATGACGCTGTTGTCTGTAAATGGACGGCTGAACATTTCATGTCGCGTAAACAGTGCCTCAGACTGGCTGTCCTGTCTGTTAATCATTTGACAAATTTCATAGATGGATGATGGGCTGACTCTTATTTTTTTAATGCTATAACATCTACCCAGAATACCTTTGAGATGGACCGGTAGATCACGTATTGGACACTCCTGCCCTAAAAGATACACGGTTGTTTTGTCAATTTAAGTACTTAAAAACTGCATTTTCTTCCCAACAATGGTGTTAACTTCATGCGAGATGATATTTGGCACATTGTGACTGACTCATTCCAAAAATCAGAGGGTGTTGTGTTTTCAGCAGAGATAATGAATCATTCCTGTATTTTTTATTGTATCAATGTATGTTTTGTCTTCTCTGTGTTTCAGTTCCATTACCAGAAACGTCTCAAAAGGAAACAACTATAGTCTCTCGTAGGTCTGAAAAGTGTCAAGCTTTTTTGAGTTCTCATTGTGACAAGGATGATGACTTTCGAACAGACAGGAAACGTACTGCCAAGCACAAGGTAGTTATGATCACTATTTTGTACCATTGTTCCTGCATTTACAGTATTTCAACATGAATATATGCAAAACATTTTTCATTTTGACACCAAGATGTGGTACCAGCCATCAGCTGTTTGAAAAATTATTGAACACATTCAAAATAACGGCTAGAAAGCAGATATTCATCTTCAAACATGATTACCGTGATTTCCGACGTACTTGCCGCACCGCCCTACAAGTTGCATCAGTCCAAATATGTCTCAAAAAGAGGAAAATGCCATAAACATGTTGCTTCACCATATACGTTGCATCTATTATACGTCACTGCTGACAACCCGGAAATGTGGGCTGGTGTTGTGCCAAAAATCAATGGGCTGCCAATTGGCGGCCTTGGGAGCATGCACAGAAGAAATTTAACAAGAATTTAGGGATGTACAATATTGGATTTTTGGCTGATATCCGATATGCTGATATGTTAAAACTTATTTGGCCGATAACCGATACTGATATTTTTTTAAGCCCAAGCAGCGAAGCGCTGCAATGCCTATTGTAATCGCTCTGTTCAGGCCCGAGCTGCAATTTTTTCCGCCAAATGAATTGGCGTTTTGGGGGCCTTAGCATATCCCAAAAGTCACCAAATTTGGCGGACGCATCAGGACTGGTGAAAAATTACGTATTTTAAGGGCGTGGCAAAAACCGCAACAGAAACGGCTCAAGAGCGCCACCTAGAAATTTTCAAAACACCCTCCACATTAACCTTAGTTTGTTGTAGAAACATGAAATTTGGTACACTTGTCCAATTCCCCAAGATGCACACGTTATCGTATCGTTATCGTATTGCAATCACGTTATCGTATCGTTATCGTATTGAGATCACGTTATCGCGTCTGGTAACATTACCCTAACTAACGTCACCCCCCTTTGGTCATGGGGGACCGCGAACACGGGTGAGGACGTCGCTCCATGAGCTAAAGTTAGGATGCCCTTGAGTAGTTTTAGCTGGTTGCGCAGCTGAAAGAGGGCTTTAAGGTCTGGATTGGAATTCAGGTTGGCTTCGGACGGAGTGTTTTTCCCTGGGTCAGTCAAATACAGCATCATCGAGTTTATTGCAGGATCCATCTTCTGAAGTTGGATGATGTCTGGGTCAGTCAGCACGGGTTGTACAGAGACTGTGTTGTCAGCCGGCTTGGCTGTAGCCTGTGCACATGTGACTGCCATTACCTCGGCTGTAGGTTGTACTGACAGAGTTGCGAGCAGCCAGGAGCGGTCAAAGGACCTCTGAGGGCCGTCCACGGCTCCGTCCTTGATAGCTGGTTTATCTGTCCCCGACGACAGTACAGCATCTTTGGTGTGGGATCCTTGGATCTCTACTCCTTGAACTACCAATGGTAGGTAGTATCCGGTGGGCCCTGACTGTTTCAGCTTGCAGAGGAGGCTTAGTTGTTCAGTCAGAGTCGGTTTCACTGGTTGGGTGTTTTCGGTTCCACATGCGTTTGAAGAATAACTTACCAGGACTGTGTTCTCTGTCGAGAGGTCCTCGGTGCCTTCTGCAGTGCCTGCTGTTGGGCAGTCTGTGACTGTCTCATGAGGCATGAGTATTGGCAAGGGTTTGCTCACTCTAGCCCACATTGTCTGTTTACCATAATCTATAATCGCGTCAAAGCGATTTATAAAATCCTGGCCGACCAAAAATGGGAATGAGTCAACCGGAGACACATATACCGGGTGGTATAGTGTCATCTCGCCAACCTGCATGCGAACCATAGCTATAGCTGTTAGGGTTATCTTCGCCTCCGCGAGGCCCTGCAGCCCTGTAGCACATTCTATGAGAGGTATTCCCCTGTGAACACTATTAGCGGTAGTCTTGAGCTCCTCGAACAGTTTGACTAACATAATAGTTATGTCGGCTCCACCATCCAGTAGGGCTTCACGTGTGAGGACTCCTTCAAGTGTGATCGACAGGTAAGCTTTCTCAGCGACCCCCTTTCTGATCAGGTTACACAGGAACCTTGGAGGTTTCGGCCGACGGTTCTTCTCACGTCTACCTTCATCTGTGTAATCCTGGTTTTTCTGAACCGTTGGTGCAGTTGCTTCTGCTCCTGAGAGTTCGGCTGTTGACGGGCTTCCGTCATTGAGGTATGAGATCACCCGCTCACCGTGTGTTGAGGAGCTCTCATTGTTTGTAACAACAAGGTCTTGGTGGCTGTCCATGGCAGCGGCAGCGTTGTTGTTTGTGTCACCCTGTTTGGACTGAACCGTTAGCACAGCTATTGCTTTTTCCGAGGTTTCAGTTTGTGACGGGTCACCGTCGGTGACGTGTGATTGTACCCCCCCTATCTCAGGTGAGGGCGTGTCAGAGTATACAACAACAGCGTCATGGTGACTGTCTGTGACAGCAGTATCGGTGTTGTCTGTGTGCTCTGACTTATCAGCAATGATATCGCCAAACAAAGCGTTAGGTCGTTTGTCCTTGGCAACACCTTCCACCAAGTCCAACAACCGATTCACCCTGTCTTGTCCGAGCTCAGAGGACCGCGGTTCTTTTTCTGGACCTGCTGCTGTTTCTTTTTCGTCTCAGGCTGTTCAGCCCGACGTGGTGGGGAAACAGTACCCCCCCTTTGGGGTTCCCAGTGGGATCCCTGGTTGTATGGGTCACTTTTGGTGCCATACTTTTTACCCTTAGGGCATTCGCCCCCTTCTGGTACGATCGTTCATCCTCTGGTTCCTTGGGAAACCATTTAGGATCTCGTCTGGACCAGGGGGCACTCACCTGATGTGGTTTGGCTGCTGGGAAACCTCGTTTCCTCTCGCCTTTTTTGGGAGGGGGAGTCGAAGATCTCGTCCCTTCCAATTCTAATGACTGGGCAGGAATCCTCTCACCTGGGAACACCTCAATGGGTGTTTTGGCCTGTGAACGGGCTTCAAAGACATTCACAGCACAACTTTTTATCTCACTGATGGATTTCTCTTTGAAATTAGCCATCATTTGCACTGACATCCTTATGTCAGGGTAGAGATTTTGTTGAACACGTACTTAAACGGTTCCTCTTCCTCCATGTTGGCCTCGTTCCTGCAACCAAAATAAGCCTGCAAAATCCTGGAATAATATGCCCTGGGGTGCTCATTCTTACCTTGCATGACTTTGTCAGCGGCTGGATAACCGCCAGGTCCCGTGCAAGGGGAATGCTCTTTCATAAGAGCAGCACATAACAGGCAGTAATCCTTTCTTGTGGCATCAGGTTGACGCTCTATGAAGGAAAACACCGTCCTGGATGAAGTGAGCCTGATCAAACCTACTTTATCCTCAACTGTAGCGTTGAGATAGTTTCTTAATTGGAAGTCAAGGTTGTCCAGATAGGCCTTAGTGTCAGTTGAACCCAACGGCCCTGGCTCAAAGCGATTGACATATTTTGCAATTTTGTGCAAATCCAAAATTGGGAGCAAAGGCTGTATTATCGGTATCGTAGGAACCAAAATGGCACGTGGAAGTATGTCGCTAGACTCATGTGGAGGTGACGGAATGGGATTAAGAGCAGGAGGTGCAGCAAAATCCTTCTGAGGTGGTGGTGGGTGACCTGGACTCTGACCTTGTTCGTCTTTGAGTTCCAGACAACCTTGCCCCACGTCAGAAATCTCATTTGTTGCAGCGGCTAGTTTCGCCTCACAGGCTTTTAAGCGTTCCTGTGATGTATGACATTCACTCTGCAAACGCACGCCTTGTTGTACTAACGCCGCCTTTTCCAGTCTGCACTCGTTCAGAGCTTTTGATGTGAGCTGCAACTGTTGTTGTAGCGCATCATTGTCTGAAAACAGTGTTTGGCACTTAATCTGTCCCTCCCTCAGCTTCTCCTCATATGAGTGAGCTTGTAATGACAGCTGAGCTTGTGAGAGCTCCCTCTCATGTTGTAACTCATTCGCACAGGTCTTCTTATCAAATTTAGACTGTGCCTCGAGTTTGAGGTACTCCTCTGTTTCGCTGTTTAACCTTATTGCAAGGTCTTCAGCTCTGTTTGCCTCCCTATAAAATGTTGCTTTCAATAAGAGTGCCAATTTAGCCAGCTGGTCATAGCTTGACTTTATTCTGGCTGTAGAGGTCACACCCTCTGCAACATCCTTCAGCTCGTCCAATAACTCTTTTGAGTTCATGCTGTCCACCTGTTCACCATATGGATATAAGGATTCTGTAAGCAGCGTTAACGCTCTCTCCAACCAGTCCTTCTCCTCACAAGGATCAATATTCTTTTCTGTCACATCTGCCATGGTTATTCACTGTTCAGCACTTATCTGGTTAAACAGTTGCCAACTTTAGAGTTTTTAACAGGTAAATATTTGTATTCAAGTGAGCAGTGAGTTTCACACACTATTTTAGCTCTGGGACCACTCAACAATACTGTTATAAGCCAACTTATTCAAATGAATGGGCACCTATTTGTAGGTTTTACCCCAATGCATGAATATTCTAAGTAAATGCTTTCTTAGCTAGTTACTTAATGTGCTTATTTCTAACAGATACAAGAGCCAGGCTATGTTAGTGTTCATTTACTCTAAAGCACTTAAAATTAAATAAACCTGCAATTTTTCTAAAAGTCTCACAGCAACTTTAGTTTTCAAACGCTTTTTAAGCAGTTCTATATACCAGAAATTTGCTATTGACAGTAACTCATAAACCAGGCTGGATTAACAAAAAATTAATTAAAGGCAGTGAGCAGCCTCCTTTCAGGAAAACTGTTACACCCCTCTTTCAACAGCAGGTGGCGGTGTAAGCTTATTTTTACCAGGAGAAGTCTATGACAACTTCCTGTGAACTGTTCTGTTCTGTTGACATCTGGTTGTTAGCCGTTAGCTAGACGTAGCACACGGTCTAACACGGTCAAATCAGCACTTCCTGAATGGATTTAAAGCTTAAACGTGGCGTCGCTTTAACAAGCACGTCTATCTGCATGAAAACATGAGTTTTGGGAACAGTGGCAGGCTTCATTTAGCGATTTTAAACACAGAGGAGGGCTCGGTTGAACCGAGA